GATAGATAGATAGATAGATAGATAGATAGATAGATAGATAGATAGATGCTACAGAAATTAGTGCTAATTCATCACCACCTTGACTATCATGACAAAAGCAGAAGAAAACATTCAATGTTAAATCCAGTTTTCCGGCATGCTTTAAAATGCTCCTTAGAATAAGATCTAATCCTTCCCTCGGGGGAAGACACACAGATCAGATCCTGTTGCAGCATGAAGGCGCAGATGTGAGAAAACCTGTTTGTGAGTCAAACAAATATCCAGCCCAACGACAGACAACATGTGACATCAGGCTAAAGCGAAACCAAAACCGTTCCACGGCAGCTCCCAGAGGCTGCAGATTCTATCTGTTTCCTGCTCCATTCTCTGTCTTTTGGGTTCCCATTTAATTGCAAAGGGTTGTCGTCTGTTTTTGTTCTTGGATCTGACTTGGTTGCCCTGTTCTCAGGGTTTGTTTTAGTCTCCACTGGAGTTTCTTTTTATTTCTTCCCTTGCCTCTAGATGTGCTGAGTCGTCTTTTCCCAGGTGGCCCTGCACACCTGTTTCCCATTAATCACTCATCAAACCTCAAAGTTGAAATAAGTCCGGTTTACAGTTTAACTGCATCTCTCAGTCAGAGTCCTGTTTTTGTAATAGCTTAGTTTATTGTGAATCTGTGCCTTTAATTTTCTTTTGAATGATTGAGGCTTTTTGATTGTTCCTGTCTGCATTTGGGTCAAAATTCCCAGTCAGAATCAGTGGTGGCAGCCACTGATTTCAACCACAGATCACATGATCAGGACACAGGCTGCAGGACCGATAGTAGCTGCTAATCAATAGTCTTCCAGGATGGAGAAAAAAGGCTTTTTCACCCCAGTCAGACTCATAGAAACTGACAAACCCAAGAGCTGCATCTCCTCCAGATACTGAAGTACTCAGTCAAATCTGAGGCCACCTGTCTGAAACCGGCTCACCAGCAGAACAACGATTCCCAAACACAGAAGCCCGTCGGAGCAGAAAGTCCGAAAGAGGAAAGAATTCAGCAAACCTCAAACAGGAACGATGGAAAGAAGAACGACCCAAAATGGTCTGTCACATGGTTTAGTTTTTCTGAGGCTAAGAGCTCGTGTTTATCATAAAATATCCTGTTAGTTGTTGTTTGTATTTCAGTCTTGCTTCCCTTCACTACTAAAACTCAGTGGAATTCCTCCTCTGAGAAGCTCGAGGGCTCCCACTGTTTTCCTTTCAAAATACAACGTTTCCGTGTATACAGTGGGGGAAATAAGTATTTGACCCCTTGCTGATTTTGCAGGTTTGCCCACTTACAAAGAATGCAACGATCTATAACTTTAATCATATGTACATTCTCACAGTGAAAGACAGAATCCCAAAGAAAATTCCAGAAAATCACATCATATGAATTTATAAAAATCGATAACCATCTGATGAGGAAAAAGAAGCATTCTTTGTAAGTGGGCAAACCTGCAAAATCAGCAAGGGGTCAAATACTTATTTCCCCCGCTGTATTTACCCTTGACGACCACCTGGATCTCGGTGCTGGTGGAGAACCTCCTGGTGTCCTGCACCGTGGCCCAGGCCACGCAGTAGTACCCCCCCGCCTGCTGGGGCGTGGCCCTCTCCAGCACCAGCCGGCTGCCGGAGGCCCTGACCCCCGGCCATGAACCTCCCACCTCCGTGCGGTTGAAGAACCAGGTGTAGGACAGGTGTGAGCCGCGGTCCACTTCGCAGCTCAGGGCCACCCGGGACCCCTCAAACGCCACGGGGGGGGAGGGGTCTGACTCCACTCTGGTGTTAGACGCCGGGGCTGGAAACCAAGAAGTCCCACGGTTATCATCATATGAACGATGTGAACATTAGCCCTATAATGCCAAATATGTCATATCTGATTTCCAGTGTAAAATGATTAGTCTCCTAGCTATCAGAGTTGAAAAGGCTATTATATTTTTGAACCTTGAGATACCCATGTTATCAAAATTGAGGTCTACATATCAGGCTGACATTCTCTTCCTATGGCTTCAGATGTTGTTTTATACACTCCAAACCAAAATGAGTTCAAGGATGGACATGACCAAAACATGTGTGTTAACCCTATAATGCCAAATGTGTCATATCTGATTCATACGGTTTCTGAAGTCTTTTGGATCTGAGACTTTTTGCATCATTCAGTGGTAAAAGCTTTGCTCAAACCCCTGTTGTATACATTCAGATATACCTGATAACAGCCAGTAGAAGCCAGTATTTTTGACTTATTGCAAGTTTTTTTTTTTCTTTATATGTTGTTGAGGGGCCAAAGCTAAAAAAATCCAATATTCTTCCTATTTTTCTTGGATCGGGCTTTAAAGGGTCACAGAGGAGCATACAGTTTTATCTGAAAGACACTGTATCTTTTCAAAATAATTCTTAAAGCTGTACAATGTGCTCTATTTTGCATAAAAGTATGAATATTTCAAAACTTTAGTTTCAGTCATTAGTGTTCTATGTCAGGAATTTGTTTGGTCTGGTTATTGAGTGTAAAGCAAAAATGGTGAAACCAGTGTGAATGGACTATTTGTTGTGGCTACAAAGTTACATTATGGGTCTTTACAGCAAAAATAAATGATAAAATTTTAAAGTCCCATGTTCAGGAGCCCGGCGGCAATTTTGAAGACACTCACTGACGACGGTGAGCCGGACGCCGGCGCTGACCCCGGTGATGCCTCCGGCCGCCGCCCGGCAACGGTACGCCCCCCCCGTTGCCGCGGTAACCTTAAGGGGGAACACGGCGGTCTGGCCGCCCTCGTCGTCGACGTGCGTGGCGACCGGGGCCCCGCCGTCCCTCAGCAGCCGGTAGGTGACCGGCGGGGGGGCGCCGGGGGCAACGCACCTGAAGGCCACTCTGGAGTTCAGGAAGGCTTTTTCTGGACCGGTCAGCCGAGGCTGCAAAAGGCTGCATTCACCTGGAGATTTAAAGTCATCGGAGCTTAAAACCCCACAGAACAACGAGATATAAGAACTCCCCCAAAGCTCACAGCCCACCGCTAATGATCGGAGAAGCTTTGAGCTATTTGGAAACTAGGCCCCATATACAGTGGGGGAAATAAGTATTTGACCCCTTGCTGATTTTGCAGGTTTGCCCACTTACAAAGAATGCTTATTTTTCCTCATCAGATGGTTATCAATTTTTATAAATTTATATGATGTGATTTTCTGTAATTTTCTTTGGGATTCTGTCTTTCACTGTTAGAATGTACATATGATTAAAGTTATAGATCGTTGCATTATTTGTAAGTGGGCAAACCGGCAAAATCAGCAAGGGGTCAAATACTTATATCCCCCACTGTATGAAGCATCACACTTACTCCAGAACGCGTCCTGTCTCCAATCAGCCCAAAAAGTATCACATCACCCCTCTGTTCATTGAGCTTCACTGGTTACCCCTGGTTACCCCCTAGTTACCCTTAGTTACCTCTGGCTGCCTGCATCCATTTCAAGTCCCTGATTCTGGCCTACAAAGGGCTTAAGGGTCCGGCTCCTGTCTACCTGACTTAGACTTAGACTTAGACTTCCTTTATTGTCATTGTACAAAAAACACAAGGTGAATCTTGACAACGAAATGTCGATTGCTTGGCTACCAGTGTGACAGAGCTAAGACCTTATTCCTACTTAATAAATATGTTTTCTACATCTAAGAGCTAGATATATACAGGGTAAGAGCATATATGTACATATTATTGCACAGAGTTATTACAAAAGAAACATAAATGAATATTGCACTGAGTTGATTGCAAAAGACACAATTGAGTTGAAGACAAAGCTAAACTAAGGTGCGTGTATTGTCCATGTCCTTGGGGGGAGGTTTTAGTGTGTGTGTGTGTGTGGGAAATGGAGGAGTGTTATGTTGAACCCTCTCTCAGAGGCTCATGTCCCAGCTGGTCCCTCCGGTCAGCAGCAGACTGTGGTCCAGCAGAACTGCTCCACGTTAAGACGATCAGACTGTTTTCATGTGTTGTTCCAAGATGGTGGAACGACCTACCAGGAGCTACAAGAACAGCAGCGTCCCTTTCTATCTTTAGGAAACTCCTAAAGACCCACCTCTCCACAGACCATATCCTATCCTGACTCTTCCCCAGACCTTTGGACCCTCTACTCCTCTTTCTGAGCTTCCTTCTCTCTCTTTGCTGCCACCACTGATTCTGACTGGGGATTTTCCTCTAGAGAACTGATTCTCATATTGATGATAACTGTAAAATCGTGTCTACTTTCTAAGTCGCTTTGGATAAAAGTGTCTGCTAAATGCAGAAACGTAAACATAAAGATAAACTTACTTATCATGGTGAGAAAACATGCCAGAGCTGAAAAAGATCGACAACATGTCGCAATAAGTTTCTATCCAATTAAATAATCCACTTTTTTTTTTTTTAAATCTGTTTGATAGAGTTTAAGATACTCACCCAAAACTGGCAACAGGTTAAGGATGTGTCGAGGCTTCATTACTACGCCATGTATGGTTCGCCTGTGTTTTCTTTGGGTTACATGTCCGTGTGTGTGTGTGTGTGTGTGTGTGTGTGTGTGCCTGAGTCAAAGTGAAGGCGTGTTACACATGTGTTACCAGCAGATAACACATCACGCTGCATGTCTGGGAGTCTGTGACGATGTCACATGTAGCAAAGCTTCAAAACAAGCATAAAACGTTTTAATGGGAATCAGGAAAACAGGAAAAAATTACATTCATAGTCAATTCAGAGAGGAAACTTTTAAATTTTCACACCTGTATCATCGGTTGTATAAAAATACTGATGCAAACATTTAATCCAAATGTAAAAAAATGCTTATAAATTGTGTTAGCTTTATAGACTTAGACAGCCAAAAGCAACTAAATGCATAATATCTTCTGCACATTAATACTGGAGGGAGTTTTTTACAGTGAGTTTTTTTTTAATCGGTCATTCATTTTAATCTGTCATACATTCACAGTCAATTCAGAACGGAAACTTTTACATTTTCACACCTGTATCATCGGTTGTATAAAATTACTGATGCACACATGTATTCCAAATGTAAAAAATGCTTATAAATTGTGTTATCTTAGAGAGCCTAAATACTTATCAGCCACACAAAAGCAACAAATTGCATAATATCTTCTGCACATTAATACTGGAGGGAGTTTTTTACAGTGAGTTGTTTTTAATCTGTCATTCATCCTGTAAGAGGGAGATCTTATCAGTCCCACTTCTCGGTTTTTGGTGGTTTCGGTCTGAAACTGAAGTCTGGCGCTGCGTTTAAAGCCGCTGATGGGCGTCCGGCTGGGCTGCGGCCGATCGGCCTCGGCTCCGGTTCCTCCGGTCTCTCAGCAGAGTGGTGTGCTGCTTCACCAGGAAACGCTTATCTGAGCTGCTCTGTGGGGGAAATCAGGCACATCGACCAGCAAAACGTGAGCAGAAAGACTTCAAAAGCTGATTCACACAAGGCAGAAGGATTCCCTCACAGGAGGAGAGAAGAACTGGTTTAGCCCTGTAATGCCAAATGTATCATACCTGATTCATACGGTTTCTCAAGTCTTTTGGATCTGAGACTTTTTGCATCATTCAGTGGTAAAAGCTTTGCTCAAACCCCTGTTGTACACATTCAGATATACCTGATAACAGCCAGTAGAAGACTACACCAAAATATATTTTTGACTTATTGCACGCTAATTTGATCAAAATAATTTCTGTTTTTTTTCTTCATATGTTGTTGAGGGGCCAAAGAAAGACTTCAGACTAAAAAATATCCAATATTCTTCCTATTTTTCTTAGATCAGGCTTTAAAGGGTTAACTGATTTGTGGGAACATGTGGTGGTGCTTTAAGGTCACTGAACCCAACATCATCTGACTTTTTACATAATCCTAAATGATACCAGAGAAGATGCTATCAAATTAGACCAACAAATATCAAAGGTAATGGTTTGTGTTTTAAGAAAAATTACAGCATATCACTGAAATTGAACACAAACGGGCTGTGAACTATTTGATTCTGTCTCTTGAGCTGTTTTCCCTCTTGTTGACTCAAATTCCACATTAGTATTCACCTGTGTTGCCTTTATTTGAGGGCTAAGTGAACATCTAAAGTATTTGGAGTCTTAACCCTATAATGCCAAATGTATCATATTTGATACATACAGTTTCTGGTTGTCTTTTGGATCTGAGACTTTTTTGCATCATTCAGAGGTAAAAGCTTTGCTCAAACCCCTGTTGTACACATTCAGATAACAGCCAGTAGAAGACTACACCAAAATATAGTTTTGACTTATTCCATGCTAATTTGATAAAGTTATTTCTGTTTTTTTTCTTCATATTTTGTTGAAGGGCCAAACAAAGACTTCAGACAAAAAAAAATCCAATATTCTTCCTATTTTTCTTGGATCAGGCTTTAAAGGGTTAATATGCCAGAGATACAGAGACGTGAAATAACTAAATCTGAGTTAAACTTCTCACCATGACCAGCATGTCCTTCAGCCTGTCGATGGCTCTCTGATTGGCACGCTGCCGGGACACGTATGAAGTCAAGACGATGCTGTGAAAAGAGCAGACTTTGAGTTACAGTCAGAAAATTAAGAAAATCTAAACAAAACACTGCAGATATTATTTTTTTCCAAAAGCCCTTCAAACCCTTTTTGTCAGGTTTCGAACTCGAGGCAGGACTTAGATGCAGAGAGGAGGTTCAAAAAGGTTTTATTGAAAACAAGGCTCACTCTCAAAGAGTGGAAATAAGGTTCAAAACAAAGTAGACCAAAACTATGAACAAAGTATGAAATCAAAATCACTCTTACAGGGCAAAAAACAAGACTGTGGACAAAATATAATCGCTCAAAAACGAGACAAAAAGGCTATGAAACAAAGTAACAAAATAATACTCACTTGAGTTAATAAAATGACAAGGAGGATCAAAAGCAAAATCCCTCTTAGGAGGTTAAACGAGGGGCGAGGCAAGGCAAGGTACGAGGACAAGGTAATGCTCAGTAAGGTCATAAATACGAGGATAAATTACGAAACCCACTGGCACCAGACAAGGGGAGACTCAGACTATTTAAACATTTAACATTTAAACACACAATCAGGGAACACAATCAGACATGTGACACACAGGGCAGTGCAAGAGACCTGAAACAAGGGGGTTTACCTTTCAAAATAAAACAGGAAATGACAAGACAACCATGGAGACGGGACAAGACACCAAAAATACCCCCAGACGTGACACTTTTAACGAGGAGAACTGGTCCATTACTGGACTGCAGAGCTCATTTTTTAGCTTAAATCTGCAGCTACTTACACCTCAGCCAATAGGAGGGGGAGGGCGAAGGCCTCGGAGGTCAGATATCGGACGGCCGTCTGCGCCGGACCGGGGAGACTCCTCACACAGACCCTCACCACCTCAAACACAGACTCTCCGCCTCCAAACGGGCCGCAGGAAAACCTGCAGAACAAAGAAACAGACAGGAAACATCTAAGCTTCTGATGTTTAAAAATAGTGTTTTTTTTAATCGGTGAAAATCGAGTGGAAGGGTTTTGATGAAATGTTGGTACTCTTTGCTGTGCTCTTGCTGGTAGAGGTTGAAGCCCAGCGCGGTGGCAGCCATCAGGAGACCCAGAAGCAGCATTAAGTGGAACAAAACCGAGGAGCTGGAGGCTCGAAACATCCGCTGCTCTGCCACACAGCAGCGCAGGACGCTGAACTGGGGACAAAAACAGCTTTATAAATGAATCTTTATCGTCATTGTCACAAGAAACAACGAAATGTAAAAAAGTGCCATCAATCAGTGCATTTGCCCACAATTTACACACAATATAAGAAATAAATAACAAATAATTGATAAAAAAAACTGCTAATAAATAAGAATAGCACATTCTAGCACACATCATCCATGATGATTAATGGTTATTTAGTTTTGTTATTGCTGTCAGGTAAAAACTGTCTCTAAGGCGGTTGGTTCTTGTTCTGATTGCTCTGTATCGTCTGCCTGAAGGCAATAGTGTAAACAGAGAATGTCCGGGATGAGAAGTGTCCTTTGTGATGTGTTGTGCCTTTTTTAAACTGCGGTCGCTGTGCAAGTCCTCCAGTGAGGGGAGAGGGCAGCTAATGATTTTCTGTGCTGTATTTATGGCTATTTTCCAGGAAAAAATTGTGAATTTCACTGAAAACAAACTCCCGTTAGTAACAATTAGATTTGAGAAAAACTCAGAAAAAAGCCTAGATATGATGGAAATGTTACTCTGTGATCTTGAAGTGAGCACATGTGCCTGAAGAGTTATTTAGAGCCATAAATCTCAAAGAGGCAGAGCGTGTGAAAGAGTTAAGGGTTAAAGTGGAGAGTCAGTGTGGCCACACGGGGAAAGTCTTTGTCCTAAAAGGAGCTACTCTACTGTGTTTTTGTGTTTTGGACAAATGATACAACATGCATGTAATGAAGACTGAGGATGAGTCTCATTGGGTGCATCATTAGAGGTCTTAGTTTTCCACCTATTTACCAAAACAACCCACTTTTCCAATTTGTTTTTGTGTCTTTTCTTTGGATGGGTGCTCTTCTTTGCTTTTTCTTTTTTTACACAAAGTGTGACTTTATTTTTTTAATTAAAATGAACTACATAAAAGAAAAAAAAACAACCTTTTTTATGTAGAAGGTGGCCATCAGCGTGACCGTTCCTATCAGGGGCAGCAGGGGGCAGTAGTGGACTCCCACCCAAGACACGGTCTGACCGTAAACGAGGTCCAGCACGTTGAAGGGGATCAAAAAGTGTTGCTTCCCTGATAGTCGAGCCAGTAAAGAGGTCGGGCGCGCTTCCTGCAAAAGCCTTAAAAACGGAGGGAAGAGAAAAAGGATGTTTCTTTATATAATAGATCAGAAATGTAGTCTTTCCTGATTCAGTCGTCAGGCAAAACGTCAGGCCTTCAAACCACAATCATGACTAAGAAAGAAAGAGACTGTTGATCTCCAGCCAACCCACTTCCTGGGGTAGTTAAAGAGAAAGGCGTTGCAGAAGGTGGCGAGGAAGTTGAAGACACACAGCTTGTACATCTCTCTGCCAAACTGGTTTTCCCTGCATGTCTTAGGAGGCTGCGGGCGGAAAAACAAACAAGAAAAGTGGGTCAAAGACGGCGTTTCGGTACGAGAAAATACTTCTGCGTTTGTCCCACCGACTCACGCTTAAGAAGAGGAAAGATAGATAGATCCCCAGAGAGGCCAGCTTCAAGAAGATGCTCCTGGAGAAAAGAAAAAACCTGTAAATGGCTGTTTCCCAGAGCGATCAATAGTGTTTACGGGGTCGTGAGTCGTACCTCACCAGAGTGGCGTTCACTTGTACAGTAAGCGAATAATCCTCAAAAGAGGAAATTTTACGGAACATGTGAGGAAGGATGATGTTTACGAAGCTGATGGTCATAGGAGGAAGATATTGGAGGACCAAACCCACCAACCAGTGGAAGCTAGAGATGTTCTGAGAAACAGTCACACACTTTCAATGATCCGATTACATCCAGCAGACACAAACACGTCTATGAGAGTAAAAGTTTACCTCGCCGCGGGACCTAATGGTGGAGAAGTAGATGAGGTAAAAGGCTCCACCCAGCAGAGACAGAACCACCAGGTTGAGGATGAACCTGAGCAGGTAGAGACGCAGCTTCTGCCCCAGAGTCCTCTGGGCCTTCCTCAGGGAGAAGCTCTGCTCCTCCAAAAACAGCTGGGGAAGACAAACAGACGGCATTTTTACAGAACCCGATCAGTTTCTACAGACTAAAGCAGCCTCAGTTCCACCGGCAAAAAGAGCAAAGAAAACAAAGCAAACTAAAAAAGAAAAAGGACAAGATTTGTCTTTTGTTTATTTATTCAATGTGACTTCTACTTATGCAGATTTTTGTTCATTCCTGGTTTTCTCTCCGAGTATTTTCATTTTAAAATGTCTGTTTGTTTTTTTTCTTTTTCCATACATTTGAATCTGGTTGGATAAATTTCAGCTGTTCCACATTTTGAGGTCCCTGTTGTGAAAATAAGGTCAAGAGTGAAGGACATTACTCAGACTCTGAGGACAGATAAGGAAAAGTTTGAGCACCATTAAAATAAGGATTTCTTTGTGCTTCAATAAGATATATACTTTTAATAATTTACAAAACACTGAATTACAACATTTGAACTGTGAAATTCTGCAACTTGCTTCATTAAAGAAAGAAATCAAGGCATTAAGCTTATCTCATTAGGTGGCTTAAACAGTCCTCTGACCTCTGTTTTTTAAAAAAGGCCTTGTTCATGGCTGGTGACTGTGTTGGTTATAAATGTCTGTCTGAATCTCCGTCCGTTCACCTTGAGGTCATTTCTGACGAAGCTTTTCTTCAGCTGGGCGGCCGCCGGGTCCTGGATGGTGAAGTCCCAACCACAGAAGATCTTAAAGCTCACGTTCATGCTGTGGCGCTTCCCGATCGTCCAGGTGTGCTTGTAGCCGACGGCCGTTCTGTGAGAGGGTATGCAGAAATGAACAAACTGACCGGAAACTCTTTATCTTTTTTTGTTGCATTGCTGTTAGAGACTGTGGTGAATTATGGGACAATTGTCTTCAAATAGCTGCTGCAGGAAAAACTCTGCTGAGGCAGAACCTGGTGGAACAAAAGAGGGTTTTACTGTCAGCCAGGTCCCAGTCAGAGGTTCAGATTCTGGAGAAGTCTCAGAGAAAACTCTGCACCACTCTGGGTGTGTCTGCCCCTATATTTGGTAATCCCGTATCTGTACTTTTTGTCTTACCTCAGGCTGTTTTCATCCAGGTTTGCAGCTAGAATATGGTTTTATCCATATCATGAAAATTTCCTTTTTTGTCCTCCACCAGGCCGTCTTCCTCCAGACGCACAGCTAAAATATATTCCATCCATAGGTTGAGCATCCTCCCTACACTCTACTTTAGCCCTTTAAAGCCCGATCCAAGAATAAAACAAAACAGAAACTTACTTTTTTTTGGTTTTAAGTCTATATTTGGCCTTTTAACAAAATATGTCAAAAGAAAAAACAAAAATAAATTTTTAATATTAATAATTTATTACTATGCGATAGGTCAAGATTGTTTTTTGTGTAGTCTTCTGCCCCCTGTTATCAGGTGTATCTGATTGTGTACAACAGGATTTTGAGCAAAGTTTTTACCATTAAATTATGCAAAAGGTGTCAGACGCAAAACATTTCAGAAACCGTATGTATCAGATATGATACATTTGGCATTACAGGGTTAAGATAGTGTTTTCTCAAATGTTTGTGCTCTGCGAACAGAACAGTCTGAGCTTAACTGGGAGCTTCAGACTCTACAAAACGAACCTGTGAGCCACCATCGCCAGGCTGAGGACGATGATGGAGAGGATCCCCGCGGCGTACAGCAGAGGTGTGTTCAGGCAGGGCAAATCCAGAGAGCCACGGGTGTAAAAGCCGAAGAAAACCGGGGAGCGGTCAAGAAAACCCTGCACAAAACCAGAGGGAAACAAGGACCTGTCAGGGAGGTGGATCTTGAGGGAGGACTCAGGCGCAGAGATGACGAAAACAGGGTTTATTGTAACAAAACAGGTTCAAAAAGTGAATGTCCAGACAAAGTTCAAATCAAGGCTGTGAAAAACTATGAGCAAAGTATCAAAGCAATAAGTAAACAAGACTGTGGCAAAGTATCAAATCATGATCAACAAAACTGTGACAAAACATGGCTATGACGAAAACTGTGGCTATGGTTCAAAACAAGACTATGGCAGTAAAGTGAACAAGGCTGTGACAAAATCAAACCTGAACATGGGGTGACGAAAACAGACAGACGAAAACAGACAGACGAAACAAGAAGGACGAAAGCACTGGCCCAGGACATGGGAAACGAGGACTATTTAAATACATGAGGGAGGGGAACCCCAGGTGTACACAATAGGTGATCAAAACATGACAACACACCACACATGACACGTGACAGGACCGCATAAAAAATTTGTGTAAAAAGAAAAAAACGGACGCACACAGAGGTGTGAGAGCTCGTACCGTTCCCAGGACGAAGTCCAGAACCGAGTCATTTCCTCCGAATCTCAGCGGCTCTGTGGAGCCAAAGGAACGGTTAGAGGTCCGATCATAGCTGTGTTTGACCCTCTGCTGTCTGTCGTTGTCGTCTCACCTCTAAAAGCTCTGCTGTAAACTCCCGTGGGCACCAGGATGAACCCGCAGATCAAAAAACAGTGCAGCAGGTTCAAGTAGATCAGGTATCTGAGGAAGACGAAATAGGCCTTCACACCCACTCCGAACCTGCCTGGAAGATAAAGGTGAAGGCAACATTTTTACTCCATAAAACTGCCATGTAGGACGATCACAGCGTGGATATGTAAAACAGGAGCTAACCAGAGGTGGAAAAAGGTGGAATATCGACAAAGTTGAGTGGAAATAAAACAAGACACAACAAGAAACCTAACAAAGGATAAGTGAAACCAGAAAGATAATTACAGAGGGCGGTGGGGACTGGCCCAATGTCTGGAGTTAATAATAACTATGTCCAGAAATGAGAAACAACGAACAGAAAAAACAACAAAGAACATAGGGGTCATAGAATAAGTAACTGAGAGAAATACTCAAAAACCAAAAAAGCAAAACAAGCTAAAAAAAAACACAGATTACAAAACAAAAAACTCAAACCGGTATTAAAGCAAAAACTGTCCACAGATATCTAGAACTGATGTCAAATGCTGCTACATAAATCCACCAAATGCCGTACACTACAGCATTTTTAGTTGTTTCTGTATGTTTTGTATGTTTTTGTCTTGTTTTATGGCTTTGTTGTAAAGCACTTTGAGTACCATTTGGGTATTGTAAACGGCTATACAAATAAACTTGATTGATTGATAGATTGATTGATTACCTTCGATTTTGCGGAGTGTGTTTTGCCATGGCAACAGCCCGGACAGAGCCCCGCCCACCTGGGCCCAGACCCTCTTCCTGTGGATGCTCTGGCTCCGCCTCCAGGACTCCCAAAACCCAATGTTGCTTATTTGCATCTTCCTCCTCTCCCTGGTGAACAGCACACACACACATCATCCAAACAGACCAAAGAACCACGTTTACCATTAAAGAGTCTGCAAGACCTAAGTAGTCATAACAAGTCAAAATAAAAAATACTGTTCAGGCTCTTATCTGAGGTTATATTTAACGAAGCGGTTCGAAACCCAAAGGTTGGGAAAAACCGAAAAGGCAACAGGATGATCGACTGAACAAAAACATCCTCAAGTGATTCTGATCCTCATCTGAGAAGCTGTAAACTTTTACAGTTTTGAATGTTCACATAAGCTTAGAGACTATATATACAGTACTATATACAACATATATATACAATATGTACAATATATATATATACATATATAACCCCGCCTCTTGCCCTTTGACCACTGGGATAGGCTGCATTTCCCCATGCGACCCCATTAGGGAATAATTGGTAACGATAATGGATGGATGGATATTTATAAATATATTATTTTGTAGTTTTTGTATTTTTATAATTTATTATATATATATATATGTGCTGTATTAAGACCACAATGAGAAAAGACAATATATCAATTTTAATATTATATATTAATATATATTATACATTCAGAAAAACTGCCACCTTCTCGTGGCCAAAGCTTCATCTAGACTGAGGCAGAGAGATAAACTTTGTTATGGTCTGACTGAGTCGAATTAGAAATTCTTGGCATCTGTGTCCTTTGGCTAAAGCGGAGAGCCCGGTTCATCGTGTGTTTAAGGGTAAACAGCTGTGCTGCTCAGGCCTAAAGCTAATGTAACAGAATATTTTACACAATTATTTTATTTCCATGTGTTTTCTATATATTTGTATTTGTTTTCTATACTAACCCTCTAATGTCAAATGTATCATATTTGATACATACGGTTTCTGAAATGTTTTGCGTCTGACACCTTTTGCATAATTTGATGGTAAAAACTTTGATAAAAATCCTATTGTACACAATCAGATACACCTGATAACAGGGGGCAGAAGACTACACAAAAAATAATCCTGACCTATCGCATAGTAATAAGTTAATAATATTAAAAATGTATTTCTGTTTTTCCTTTTTACATATCTTGTTAAAAGGCCAAATAAGGAATTCAAACCAAAAAGTAATAATTTTATATATTGTTTTATTATTGGATCAGGCTTTAAAGGGTTAAACGGATCAGGAAAATGTTGGTTCCGGGTTTAGGCTATTGTGACTTTGGGGGGAGGATATAAAAGAGGGGTCACCGCAGTTGGGACATTACTTGAGTAGAGGAAAGATGTATTCTGTGTTTGTCTAATAAAATATACTCTTCAACCTATCTGTAGCCCATCTGTTTCACCCCCTCGGTGAAAAACAAGAACAAGTCACAAGAAGGTGTGTAACTTAAAGGGTTACACTAACACACTGTCTCAGTTCTTCTTCTGTAAAACTGTAAAACCTGCATCCCAACCATTCGGTTCCATGTATTGGCCATTATGATTCAGCTAATCTCTCATTTTTTCCACCTCTCCAGCGTCAGAATTAAGAAATCCTGCAGATTCTGGACATCTGGGCGGCATTCAGATGGAAACTATGGCTCCTCTGGCACTGATCAGATCGTTCATTTGTACATTCAGATCTATATTTCTAAAGATTGTATTTTTCAGTTTTATCATTTCTGTCCTATATTTCTATTTCTACATTTTATTTCTTGCTTCTCATAGAAGTGTTGTGTTGTGCACCAAACACCAAGGCAAATTCCTTGTAAGTCTAAAAACCTACTTGGCAATAAACCTGATTCTGATTCAGATTCTGATTCAGCTTTTTGAGTGGAGATTAGGTGTTTGAGAGGGTTTTTGAGTGGGAGCTCCCACCTGGCCGCCCTCTTCCCCTGTAGGCACATCGGCAGGTTTCTGAGCGGCTGCACCGAGGCCTTATCTCTGGGTCCTAGTCTGGGGCCTGGGCCCCCCCCCTCTGGCCCGGGGCCTCCCGGGTGGGCCTCATGGGGCCCGCGGGGCTCCAAAGGGCTGGTTCTGCTCTGCTCCGGTCGGGAGGCCTGGACACTGGGCAGCTGGTCAAATATCTCCGTCTGGTAGTACTCACAGGAGTCTGAGGACAGGGTGGAGCGGGTGCTCTCCTCTGGGGGGAGAAATTACAGGGATATGTTAGCCCGATTCTTTGGTTGGAAACCCGAGAATAGACCAGAGTGGATCAAAAGTATAAAAATGACATTTATTAGACACAGTTAAGTGTATCAGCTGGGCTCTAACAGACTAAAACCTCTCTCTGGGTCTCAGTGTGCTACACAAATAAACTTCCTTTGCCTAATGACTTGCATTATTTTTGTGAATTCATGACATTTGAAGAAAGTTAAAGACCCAAAGACGATCACAGACTATTTAACACCTGAAGGGAAGGGCAGGTGAACACAATCAGACACACAGGGAAGAGCAAGAAACCTGAAACGAGAGGATTACTTATCAAAATAAAACAGGAAATGACTCCACCACATGGAGATGTTAGCCATGTTCTTTAGTTGGAAACCTGAGAATATACTGTACCAGAGTGGATCAAAAGTATAAAAATGAAATGTATTGAACACAGTTAAGTGTATCAGCTGGGCTCTGACAGACTAAAACCTCTCTCTGGGTCTCAGTGGGCAAAGAGCCCTGAGATCTGGGTGATGGGCATTATCTCCTGGGCTCGATCCGCCTCCTCAAAGGAGGACTGGACACAACCAAGTCCTATTGGCCAGTTACCTCTGGGCAGGAACAGGCCAGGTCCTAATTCATGCAGATGACAGGAATGTGGTAACAAATGGTGTGTGTGTGTGTGTTGATCTAAAGGTGGATCTAATGCAATAGAGAGAGGAAAAGAGAGAAAAGAGAGTCTGTGGACACAGCCAGAGACTTTAACACAAAAATATAGTTCTAAAAGGAATAAAACAATCAGCAATTGACATAGATCGTGTGATAGCATACAATGCTAAAGTGAGTAATTATAGCCAAATTCAAACAAATAGTTGTACAAAAATGTGGCTTCAGAAACAACTGCTTGAGCCGTATCATGGTGAACTAACCTCTTTTTCTTGGAGGTGTATGAGAATGTTTTTTTAGCAGCATTGTAGGTCTGAATTATCTCCATTTTGTTAAGATTTTACAGAAGAAATGCAACTGTTCCTCATGAGCTCCCATCATTTACCAATTAGAAGAGACATATTAAACTGTGCTATTAATCATTTAACGAGAACCCAGCCAAGATGCAGAAACATTGTTTGAAAACCTTTTAAATATTTTTTTTACTTCTTCCATAAGGAGGGTCAGTAGCCCCATTTCTGATAATGAGTCTGCTGCATTCAACAGGACAATGATCCCAAACTCAGAGGAGAGTCTGAAAAAGCTCCAGAGGTCCAGCCGGAGCCAGACTTTGTGGGACCTTGAGAAAGCTGTGCATACTGACTCCCCCCAAACCACAAAGGTCTTCCACAACGATGTGAGAGGTAACACCACCATCAACAGCTGCCTTAAGTCACTGCTGCTAACAGTGGTTTTATGAGCTGTTGAATCATGGGTCAGGGTGTGTTGTTTTTCTCACACTGTTTCTACATTTAGGCTCCGTTTGTGTTGTGTTAAAACCTGGTTTGGACCTGGCGATCTCTGATAACGTCTAATCTGAGGCAAATTATGTGTTAGTTTACTTTTAGACTGCCTTGATCTGATATTGTATTTGAAGAGAAATACAGGATCTTTAAAATGTCTTCATGTACGAAGTCTCGGCTGTCAAAAGCTTGCAGAAATGTTTACAGGAAGACTTATGACCGAGAGACCAGCAGCCCAATAAGGCAAGTAACCACCGGTCTTTTAAGTATTTTTTAGTCTAAAACTTCCCTTTAGATGTTCACAGTGTAAAATGCACAGAAAACCGAATAGCTCGTTTTGTCCAACATGTATTTAGAGAAACTCCAAGTACAGACTGAGGGAAAAAACGTTTGTTTGGTTTTCTGTTACCTGACATGAGTCTCATGAAGTTCACAGTTTTCTGGTTCTCCATTTTGCCCGGCACTTCCTTTGTACCTCTACAAGAACTTCTTCACGAAGAGAGCCACTTCCTCAGCCCAGGATCCAGAATTAAACCTCACAGAAACACCAAAGCCGAGGACCCCGGAAGGCTGGTCCGGCCTTCACCTTTCCCCTCAAACATGGCTGCTGTGGTGGACGGAGATCACTCTCTGGCAGGTGGAGCAACTATGGCATCAGTCCCCAAACTGAATTTTACAAATCGGAGGAAGTCACATGACAGGATGCCGACGCAGGCGTTGGTTTCGCTGGTGGCTACAAGACGAGAAAATCGCTCAGCCATGCACGCAAGACTGACAAACACCAGAAGAAAATGTTTTGGAGGAAATACTTCACTAATGATGGGGAGCTGTGGGGCTCGCCTTTGTCCAGAGACCCTGCAGGCATCACCTGTTGTTACAGTTTCTATTGTTCATTAAATATCTTATGTCTGAAAAATCAACTGGAATCTAAAGCTGAATGGATATTTTCTTTTTTTTTTATTCAAATGGATCCAGCATCACTTCAGGATCTGTTACATCACAGCTGATTGGCTCCTCCCATCTACTTCATTTCTTAGGAAATTAGTCAGATTTCCTTTCCCAATCATCCATACAAACTACCATCTGGCTGGACATTAATTATTCTGTTCTGAGCAGCGTTTCAACATCTTCAAACCACCATCTGGGGCAAAATGCTTGAGATGATGTAGCAACAAGGCTCTTTACACCCACTCTTTACAACCACAAAGACATTTATGGCTTTCAGGGTAATACTTGTCACGAAGTAACAAGACACAAGCGTAATTTCTCGTCCATGTTTCTTGGTGATTGGTTTCAATTTCTATCTAAACTTCAACTCCTTGTATTGATTCTCATTTTCAGAGAAATGAGGGCCACAGAGCACCACAAGATCTGAGGAAAAATTATTATTTCAATGTTCATTTTAGCAGCTTTTGCTCATTCAGTACAATCAGAGGAAGTATTTAGGTTTAACTTTAATACCAGATCATGAAAAGATAAGAACTTGGTTTAATTTTTATTTCTTAAAGTGTAGTTGCACAAATTAAACAGTGTCTGCCGGAGTATCCAGGCCTTGATCAGCACATTTATTCACCCTAAAATGAATCAGAATGAGGAAGATAAAGTTTTGTTGCAAGACTTTGTTTGGCCATGTTGACAATAAAGCTGTACGTGATTTCATTCTGTTAAGAAGTTTTGACACAATCACATTTCAAAGGATTGGGACACATTTTGGAGACTATTACACCCAGTGTAAAAAAGATTGGATGTATTTCGATTGTATGTATTTTGATACTTTATCATTTAGGAAAGAACAAGCAGAAATTGAGAAAGACTTTTTGTTTTTTGCATGCTCAGGTCTTTTTAAGATGATGATAAAGATGGATTTGACATGGAGGACATGATCAAGTCCGAAGATTATTGGATTAAATAACAAAAACATCAACATTGTATCCTGCAAATGATATTTCTGTCCTTTGTGGTAACTGAGTAAAATAGCCCAAGAAAAACAAATCCCAGCTGAGCATTTTGAAACTTTTCTGCATTTTCATAACCTCAGCATGAATTTTGGTAATGTGGGCATCTTTTTTTTATCTTTGAAACGTAATCATTCATTTTTTGGTCCTTTAAAATTTTTAAGACAGAAAAAAATACTAGACTAAGATAATAATGTGAAATTGAAGTGTAAATTAAGATGAAAAAACTCACATGTTAATTCACAACAAAAATCTTCCGGTTTGAAATCCAAAAGATTGTACATTTCAAAATCTGCTGGCACAGATTTACTTCATATAAAGAGTACAGCTCATTTGAAATGCTAATTTTAAGTTTTCATTGTTGGAAGAAATGCCAACAATAGGAATGAACAGGACTGAACCAAGATTACGAACAACGAGGGGTGGCATATATGTTATATTAAAATCAGTAAAGGTTGATCCGAGAACCAAATTAATACATTTAAAAGTACATAAGCTTATATGTTGACTGTGGTTTTAGCATTTACGTGGTCTAGTTTAACAAAATATATCCTTTTCTAGTTTCTAATTTGTGTTTTTAAAAGTGAATGTGGTAATGGTATGCTCCACTGTTCAGCTGCGCGTGCAGAAACAGTTGTGAGTGACAGACCAACAGGCTTTTGCCCAAACGGCTGCACAAGTTTACCGACCGGGTAAGTGAGGACTATTTAGACATCTACACCATTGTTTTTTGTTTTATTTTAGCCCCCACTAGTCTGTACACCTTTCTATGTGCAGTCGGTGAACTTTTCTGAGTTTAATTAAACTCATTAACCGGTTTTCCCGTAGCAGCCGTTGGTCGTTAGTTAACGTTTAAGCTAGTCGGCAGCTAAAAGCAACTAATCAGAGAAAAAGTCCGAGTTGAAAAAGTTTGCCCCTTTTGGTTGTGATGTAGTTTGTTTGAAACAGTGAGGTGTTCACAGGTTCACAGTCGTCAGAAGGAGGTTTCCTGGTGCATTGTGCAATGGCAGGTTGACTTGTGGCAACTTGAGTCATTTTCGGGTCTCCCTGTACTTTTAGTGGGACATTTTTTTCTTTTCTTCTTCTTTGTTTCCAACGCCTGGGTTAGCCAGCAGTAAACCTATAATTTCGTGTTCTCAAAAGCAATAAAAGGAGCATAAGTATGACGGGGTCGGAGTGTGTGCACGTTGTTATGGGTGACTGTGCACGGGCAATGCGGCTGTCAGTGATTTCTCTGCCTTGTTTCCAAACACAAAAGGACTCCATTGTCCGTCTATTCGCCAAACCACACCGGTGTAATGGACCCTACAAATCAGGGCTTGGAGATAAATGTTCCCAGCATCTTTGTGCTCCCCCCCAGCTAACTCTTGACTTTGCTGTGGACTATAGACATGATTGCCATCCAGTCCTCCTCTTAACAGCTTTACTCTCATATTTACTAATAATCTCTTCTTGTTTGTGCAGGAAAATTAGCTCTTATTTTGCAATGTATGAAAGTCTTTTTGTGGCCAAAGTACATTTTACAATTCAAAGTCTTAATAGTTAGAATATGCCTAATCTTAACTTAAATTGACCTGGTTTCTACTCTTCTTCCCTGAATTGTTTCGGCTATGTTTTATTTGGCAACAAACGGGCTCAACTATGACCCATGTCAAGCTGTTTTTTGAGTTTTCGTCCCACTCCCACAATATCCTTCCCTAGCTGGACAGTCTCAGAGGTCTAGCTTTCAATGCTAAAGACAACGTATTCAGTAAAAAAAATTACAGTAAGGCTGAAGTCTGACTTTAGTGTAAAGAGAAAGTACAGTTCTGCGAAAAATTCGTTGCCCTGTGTGGGTTTGAAATCAGATGCAGTAAAGTGATACAAAAAAAGATGTGTATAACATATGCATTAGGAAATGAACACATAAGGAAAGTGTAACGTGAGCCCAGAAAAATGGGGTAATGGGAAAAGTATGCTGGAGGGAGGGAAACAAAAAGCATATGTTTTCTGTACACTGTTGTAACAGGGCTTGGAGAGATCACACTGACAAAAAAAACAACAACATTAGAGTTGATGGTGAAAGAGGGAGATATTTAAGCCATTCAAGTCTTCTGTTTGTTCAGGGCTGGGCGCTGCTTCATGTGGGCTGCACAGACTATATTCATTCCCAACAAGAATCAGACTGACCTCTGACCCAGAACGTCTCTGTTTACTCTCATATTCACGTCTCTCAGAGCACTGATAGCATGTAGCCACCCAGGCTGCTCGAGTCCCATTTAAAAAGCAGATTTATTAAATGAGGTATAGTGGATAATATGCTGCTTTACCACTGAAAGAGCCTCTTGCTTGGAAAAAGATCTTTGGTGAAGACTAATTCAGTTTGTGAGGAATTCTCTCTGACTTTGAGCCCTTTGAACTCTTTTTTTATTTGATCTTAATCTTGTTTAATTACCTAGTGACTGTAGAATAATGTGGCAGATCAAGAATATTGAGTCATCAGCAGAGTTTGAACGTGATCACATGTTTATTCTTTGAACACACAAAGTCCCGCAACTGGCACCACCTGAACTGCTTTGATAGATGTAAACAGGAAGTGGATCTGATGTTTGTAGCTGTTCAGAGGGAAAATCATAGACAGGCAAATCTGCTGACTAGTTAGACCTGTTTTCCAAGGCTAGCTGCCATTGGATTTTACAGATGTCAGATTAAGTTAAGACTCTTTCTTTTTGTTCTATGAATCAGCGTTAACAGGCTGTGTTTCTGGGTTATTTGGTGTACATCCAAGTTATTTCAAGTAGGTTGCAACACTCATTGGTAAATTCCCGAACATTACCAATATATCATTAAAGTCATTGGCGGGTTGTTTTAAAAATAGTTAAATCAGTTATTCGCTATTTCAGCTGTTGAAAAATGACTTAATCCAATTAATTTTCTGTGACTGGTTAATCGTATTAAACTAAAGTTGCCTGAGACTTTTCTAATATTTGGTCGAAACATGTCAAAGATAATATAAAAAGCAGAATATATAAAGCAATTACTTGGTACCATGGGATAATGTCTCAAACACATTTTAAAAATATTGCTTTTTAGTATATCTGCCGCTAGGAGATGGAAATCAAAAGATTGCCAAGAATGTTCAGGAATCTGAAGATTTCAAGAAGGCTTGAAGAATGTTTAAAAAAGTTTAAGTCAGTGTAAATATGCAACATTTCCTCCCAATATAACATTTGTGTCGAGGTAGAATGTGTGTTTCCTGCCTAACTGTTTGATGTGTGTGTATTTTTTTTAATAGTCAAATAACATTTTCATAGAACAAGTGTTATAGCTGTTTGCTGTGTAATCCACAGTATTTCCATTTTTTGTAAAGAGGTTATATTGGTATGGATTCACCTTTTGGTTATCCACAGGACATTTCCCTACATTAATGTGTTTGTGATAAACAAAGAAAACACAAAATTCACATCCTTAAAATCTGATTTGCCCTCTCTAGACGCCATAATCTGACAACATAATCTGATTATTCATATTGGTGGTGACAATGTGCCGTCTCATACTCCTGACTGCGTTTTCGTCACAATAGAGCTCTCATCTGGGCAGCGTGACATAATGCCTCATGACAGTCAGCCTCATGAGTCACTGTCACTTCATGTTTATTGTACAATCCACCACATCTAATCCAATTTAATGCCATTTATTGGTTAAAAAACATTGTGTTGCATTCACATACTTTAAAAACTCTGTGTTGATACAGTCAGGTTTAAGTGTTGGTTGTTAAAAACAGCTGAGGACGAATGGAAACAGGTAAACAACGTTTACATTCCTCTGAAGTGAGCTGGCATTTCCCACCACCTCTAACACCGCCGTGGCTCCTCCTCTGCTTCCTCCCCCCCCCCCCCCCCCCCCCCCCCTCTCAGGTGGAGGAGTAGACGCCATGGTGGGAGGGAAGTGCAAGTCTCAGCAGGTGAGGGTGTGAACCCTCCGGCTGAAGGCAGCACGGATCCAGGCGGTCAGAGGAGAGGAAGAATGGCCCGAAATGTAAACTTTGACCTGAGCCACCCCCTCATGGAAGCTGGACTGGAGTGAGTCTGTTTACAGGCTTTCTGTCGTTTAATCTTTTTATCTGTTTTACTCCGAATGTTTTGTTTTGTTTCTCGTGTAACTGTTCGACTAGGGAACTCAACATACAGAACAGGAAAGAGGGGAGACGGGATTAAACGGGACATAATGTACTCTGTCCCAGAGCTTTCATGCATATTTTTATTTTTGCACCATGTGACCAGCTGGTAATCTCCAGTTCATTGTCCTCATAGAAAAGTTTCATGTCTGGTTGAGCCCGTGTTACTTCCTGTGCCATCTACTCTGAGGTCAAAGGGAACTGGACGGGCTTTCTCTCTTTTATCTTTTGTCTACTTACAGTAACTGGAATAATATAAAAACTCTAGATAGGGCAGGAAGACAAAGGCTTCGTTCCGAGTGACAAAGTGTTTTATCTGTACAGTCAGAGCTCAAAAGTCCCAGAACTGTTCTACCACCTTAACTGCTTTGATAGATGTAAACAGCAAGTGGATCTGATGTTTGTAGCTGTTCAGAGGGAAATTCATAGACAGACACATCTGTCTAGTTAGACCAATTTTCCAAGGCTAGCTGCCATTGGATTTTACAGATGTCAGATTAGGTTAAGACTCGTTCCTTTCGTTCTATGAATCAGCGTTAACATGCTGTGATTCTTGGTTGTTTTGTTTGCTTCCAAGTTATTTCAAGTAGGTTGCAACACTCATTGGTAAATTACCAAACATTACCAATCTATCATTAAATTACTTGGCGGGTTGTTTTAAAAATAGTTAATTCAGTTAATCGCTATTTCAGTTGTTGAAAAAAGACTTAACTAATTATTCTGCTGTGCAGTCGCCTGGATTTTTCTGTGACTGGTTAATCGTATTAAACTAAAGTTGCCTGAGACTTCTCTACTATCTGGTTGAAACATGTCAAAGACAATATATAAAGGAGAATATGTAAAGAATATATAAAGCATTTCTTGGTACCATGGGATAATGTCTCAAACACATTTTAAAAATGTTCTCAATATGAAAAACTGTTCTCTAAAAATGCCCATAAATCTAACTGTGCTCCTCCGTTATGCTCAGTTCTCTGTCTGTGTGCCCCTCTGTCAGGAGCCCAGCAGATGAGGAGGGGGTTCACGTCTCGTTCAACGAGCTGATCGCAGAGCAGAGTGAGAACGAAGGTCTTTCTGACGCCTTCGAGCTGCAGCAGCTGCAGAGAGAGCTGGACGAGGAGGGTCAAGGTACTCATACTAGGAAAACACTCTGCCAGGGATCCATTTGAATTTCCCCTTGGGGATCAATAAAGTATCTATCTATCTATCTATCTATCTATCTATCTATCTATCTATCTATCTATCTATCTATCTATCTATCTATCTATCTATCTATCTATCTATCTATCTATCTATCTATCTATCTATCTGTTTGAAAGCTCTAATGCATTAACATCTACTGGAAGTATGAGGTTCCTATTGATGTGAGCGCATTCTCTTTAAATAAAAACTACTGTACTTCAGAGCAAATTTGATCATTTTACTGATTAAAACTTTAGTTTTTGTTTTTCAGTGCAGCATCGGCAAGTAATTTTCACTAATCTTTCCTTCCCCGTTAGATGATGTGGCCTATCTGAGGAGCCCCGGTCGAGACTTTAGGGGTCGGAGGAGGGAACAAAGCAACATGGAACTGGAGAGTAACGACAGACAGACGGACCCCCTCATGGCTGAGCGCTGGTCCTCAGCAACCATGAGGATCCTCTCCTCCATGCCCAGTCGCACCATTGGTATGATGAGAAATTACAGTAGAACTAACTGTTAGCTTATTTCCTGTGACAGGGTGTAACTTTCACACATTTTGTTAACACTAAAGATTAAGCCAACATTGAAAATGAGCTAGAGAAGAGAAGAAACCATTCAGACATTAGTCAGCTACTAATGTGAAAGCTGCTGACTGATAAAGATTATATTCCTTTTTTGCTCTCATCTGAAGTCAGTTTCAGTGACACAGCATTTATCTAAGAGGGTAGAACAGCAAATCTTTTTTACTTGAGTAGACTTGGTACATTTTCCTTTGAAGCACTTTAACATCAGTGATGTTTAGGTTATGTTTAGTTCTGCCCTAATGCACTATTTCTAAACTAAACAGTTTGTTACTTTTACTGACAAGCCCATGTCCAATCTTCATAAATCTGAAAACAAATGGTTGCTCAGTTTGAGCTGTTTGGACTAAAAATGCTCTTCTGTGCCACAACTACCAGGTAAAAAGTGCTAAAATATTAGCGTAGATTAATGCTCAAACAACTTGGCATGACATTGATTGAGTTTAAAAGATTCATGAGTTTCACCGGAAAGCCGGGATGTTCGTTCATAATGGAGGGGAGATAGTGATGCTCATTTAGCCTTTGAGCACTCTGATTGCCTTCTCTCCGACAGGTCGGAGCAGGGGAGCCATCATCTCTCAGTACTACAACAGGACCATGCAGCTTCGGAGGCGCCGGCAGAGCCGACCGGCCATCCGGGACTTCTCCCGCTCCGCCAGGCCCAGCATCCGCGGCTACGGCATGGAGGCCGACTCCACAGACGCAGAGGAGACAGAGAGTGAGGAGCCGGGTCACCAGAGAACAGACTCTTTAGACCAGGGGTGCTCTCACTTTTTCAGCATGGGAGCTACTTTTGAAATGACCACGTCAAAATGATCTACCAATTATATTTATCGAGAAATATATTGAGGATTCTCACAACTTATGTTGATGTATAACCACATATTGCGACAGTAGACTGGCAAACGAGACAAACGCACTTTGAAAATGTCATCGTGAAAAAAAAGCCCTTCTCCTATTCCGTATGAAAGTGATACGTTTTTTTCTTCTTACTTGGTCCAGCTCCCCCACTCATTTTCATAACCTATCTTACGTTTAAGAGGAAAAAAACTAGCGAAAAATTAGGATGTAACTAACGACTAACTTGTTAGCTTAGCGGTTTGAGCACGCACAAGGACCTAATTGTACGGGAAAAAATCAGATGTCATCTGACTGGTTGTCCTGTGTATCGATCAAGTGACGGGACGGCTGATAGGCTGACGTCTAGTTTTTATTCAAAACAACTCAACTTTATTTGTATAGTGTCAGTTCATGAGAATGTCACCTCACCTTGTCATGCGTTCTACCGATAGTACCTTGGAGATCGACTGGTAGATCACGATCGACGTATTGAGCACCCCTGGTTTAGACGAACAAAAAAAGAGCAAATCTGAGGCCTGATATGTTGTGTTGCAGTGAGTAAGAGGGAACGTTTGGTGAACAACCTGCAGAACCTGTCTGTGGGCGACAGGGTGAGGATGCTCCGGGAGATGCCTCTGAGTCTGGTTGAGAAGTGTGAGCTCAGGTGCTTAAAACATCCTCCCGTTTAGGTGGTGTGGTTTTCATGCATCTTTCTGATTTCTTTCTGATCCGTCTCTTGTTTGTCCACACAGGAGGTTAGCATTACAAAAGGAAAAACACACACATTCTACCAGCAAGCTTCCTTGTTGGAGTCGACTCAAATATTACATCATTATAGTAAGTCGGTTAAACTTCCAGTAATGTAAATATGTTCCACTTGTGTTTTGTTTGTGTGTGTTTTAAGCATTGGGTCGTTTTATTGCTGACAAAGTATAAAGACACAGTTTGTTTTTATATAAATCTTTATTTAGCTGCTTCACAAAACCTGAATTTTGATTAAGATGTAGATATTTTATTCCTACTTTTCAAGTTCCAGAAAAATCTGTCATTACCTCATCAGCCGCCTTTGTGCTGCATGTTTGGGGTACCAAAGTAAAATGGCCAGTATAGTACGCTTTTTCCTTGCAGTGTCATTAAAATGTGATCTCATTCAAAGACAGCAGCTCATTCAATTTGATTTCCTAAAGTCGGAGCAGAGCCAGTAGTCCTGTTATTTTCAGTGCTTTGCATTAGCAGAATGTTTAGAGAAACGTGGGTGTTTGTTTGGTGGCTGTTTACAAGCTGAAAAAATACTGCTGCTGAGATGTTTGTAATTTATTGAATAAAACTGGTCTACAGCTGAATTATTTCGCAAAGAGAGCAGCATGAAACACAGTCCAAGACTTTTTAGTGTAACTTTTGTTTGAATGGTAGTTTAGATTGTCTCTTACTTAAAGTCTTTAGCATAGTAGAAGTTGACTGAAGGACGTGAGGATGTATTTGCTGTCAGTCGGTGTTTCCTTTGGATGTTATCAAGCCTCTTTAAATGCTTTGCTGCTCAAGCATTTACGACTTTTATACTCAAACCACAAAACATCTGTTCTGTGCCTTGTCCTGCTACAGTGATTTATTTTTCTCCTCCCAGGCTGTGCGGCAGAGCTGGTACAGCTGGCTGTCCTTCCTCCACTCGCTCCAGCTGTGGCAGGTCGCTCTGAAGAGAGTCAGTGGGCGTTTTGGCACTGGAGTCCTCTCGTACTTCTTGTTCCTTAAGAAGCTGCTCTTCCTCAACGCTTTCCTGTTCCTGGTCACGGGCGCCTTCTTGACCCTTCCTCAGGCACTGCATCCTCCGCCTCAGCCCGCAGAACGACGCTCATTCTCCGGGCTGGAACTCGTCAGCGGGGCGGTAAGCAGCAGGCTGTGAGCCTTCAGCGTATATTTGTATTAACTTCGCACTGTTTCTTAACTTTAGTCATAAGTTTAACCTCTTTCAGCTGAAAAACAGCACAACATTTGTTCCCTCTGAGGTTTGCTTTAGTGTGGGAAACTTTTATCTGTTGAGTTTTAATTCCAATATACTGCTTTGCCAAAAAAGAAAGCTAATAGCTTAATGTAGTTAGGCAAATATTTACAAGCCTCCCCGTGGCTAATGATTTGTTTCAGCTGGTTGAAAGTTTTTAACTTTAGCCAATGCAGCAGGAAACAAAGTGCTCTGGTAAACACATGTAAACATAACAACTAAAGAGATGCTGAAACTACTAAGATTTATTTCAGAAATATCACACTCGCTGTAAAGACTGTAAAATATGATGGTAATCCTCAAGCTTTAAAATGCATTTGAACGCAGTGTTGAGTGATTTTATTCAAATTTCTCATAACAGACGGGTACAGATCAGCAGAACACAAGAGAACAAAATGCTTTGGCCACTTTTTGGTAAGGGTCATTGCAAAATGTCACAGCATTTATTTCAGGTCATGTGTCTCAAACCTTAAAATGTGCTGGACACGATTCATAGTATGAATACAAAAGCTTCATGAATATTTAGTGAAACTCCTGACTGGATATTTGAAAAGCATGTTAAGTCACTGTGTGTGTTAATTAAGGCTGAACATGGTCCAAGAGACTCTTTTTTTATTCTTCTGCTCTAAATCTGATGGAATTTATGCCCATGGGCAAATTAAGCTAAAGAGGCATTTGGTGATGGTTTATTTAAATGGATCCAGGTGTAAAACAAGAATAGGAAGTAAGCAAAACAGAAACCACAGAGGACAAGTCACTATTAAATAAAACCAGGAAGCAACATGAGCTGTAGTGAGCCGTAGCAGAACACGTGATGGAGTCAGAACAGTGAAATACAGAAACCAGAAACACACAGTTACATGTAGAACGGCTACCTTTTTTCACTTGTCATGTCTCACTTAAATTCAGAAAACTTCAAAACAGTCATGATTGAGATTTGTGCGGATCCTTGAAAGCTTTAAATGTCTTTACATTCAATTTGTGTGTTTAAAAAAAAAACAGATGTGGTTTCTGATCTGCTTGTTTTTGGTTTTACAGTGTTCACATAACTCTGTTGTAACCGTGTTGTCTGTCCCACCTTTTTCTGTCTCAGGGCTATTTCTCTGACACACTGATGTATTATGGGTACTATAGTAACTACACACTGAGTAAGAGCTGCCGGGACAGAGATGTGGGACACAATGTCTCCGTCTCTAATTCAACCAGCCTGGACTGCAGCACCAGGCACCTCTCCTACAACATGCCCCTGGCATACTTCTTCACCATTGGAATGGCCTTCTTCATCACCTGCATCATCCTAGTGTACAGGTCAGTGTTTTTGAGCCAGTAAAACATTCAAATCAGCCTTCATTTTGCACCGTTTTATTCATTCCATTTTTATTTAATTAATTTATGATGATTTTATGACTTTGTATGTTTTCTTATGTTTCAATGTTGTTTTAATGATGATCGTCTTTGTAAAGTGTCTTTTAGTGGCGCTTGTTAAAAATAAAAGTTATTATTATTATTTAGTATTATGAATGGTCTAAGTGGATATTTATTTTTCACGTTTTCTCCCAACAGCATGTCCAAGTCGTTTGGTCAGAGCTTCAGGATTGACAAGTCCCACAGTCTCTTGGCGGTAAAAGCCTTCTGCTCCTGGGACTTTAAGGTCATCAAGAGAAGCTCGGTCAAACTAATGTCTGAAAACATCTCCACGCAGCTCAAGGTGCCCATAAACACAATCACCTCTTTGTTTTGCCTCCGTTCCACGGTTGGGCGGCAGGAATGTGATGATCCGGTGCATTCTTCTCCGTCTCCCACTCCTTCTGTCCCTCCCTCACATCGTCCCTGTGCTTCCCCAGGAGCTGTTGGCAGAGGTGAACCACAAAAGTGCCACAAACACCAGCTGCCAGACGTTCTGGAGGATGATGGTTCACGCCGTTGCCTGGGCGATCTGCATCGCAGGCGTCTCTGGCTGTGTGATCGGGATCTACTACTTCTCTCATCACATGCACCAGGCGAGTCAGAGGGGTTCGCCTTCTAAGGCTTTAGCCCCAAAGTTTCCTTCTACATAATTTAGTTTAACCCTTTAAAGTCCGATCCGAGAATAAAACAAAACAGAAAATTACTTTTTTTTGGTTTGAAGTCTTTATTTTGCCTTTTAACAAAATATGTAAAAATAAAAACCAGAAATACATTTTTGATATTAATAATTTATTACTATGCGATAAGTCAAGATTATTTTTTGTGTAGTCTTCTGCCCTGTTATCACGTATATCTAATTGTGTACAATATGATTTTCAGCAAAGTTTTTACCATTGAATTATGCAAAAGGTGTCAGACGCAAATCATTTCAGAAACCGTATGTATCAAATATGATACGTTTGGCATTACAGGGTTAAAACCATAAAAGATTCTCTGTCTCAGATCTCAGTTAATGAGCTCCCACCAGCTAACCACACCCCTCACCACCGCCCACTGGTGGTGTGAAATATATTATAATTCTCTCTGTTGAAGTGGTTCAAATAATTACATAATAATTTGATTGGCTGCATTCATAAGTCTTCCCAATTTAACTTTGATCACAGTGAACACCAAACGGGCTAACAGAGGGAAATTTAGCATCCTAACCCGTACCTCTACCCCCCCCACAACTCCTTCTATAGTCCCTCTACCTCTATCTCTATCTCACCACTTACTCTGATCAGTGTTTCTCCTCTGTATAGCTTATTGTCATGGTGATGATAAATGTAATATTGTATCTACTCTGTACCTCGCTTTGGATAAAAGCGTCTGCCAAATGCATAAACATAAACACATCCACCATCAGAAAGTGTTTTTTTTTTTTTTAAATACAAATCTGATTGATTAAGCATTATAAGGAGTTACATTCTCATAACAGATTGAGGAACTCTTCTGTTTTTTCTCTCCTCCATGAGCAGAACCTGCAGCAGAGCTCCCGCAGCAGCAGCCGTTCGCCCTTACAGACGGAGGCCAGCCTCCTGGCTCTGCCCGTGCTGGTGTCCCTCCTCAACCAGCTGCTGCCCGCCCTGTTCAACCTGGCCGCCTGGATGGAGGAATACGATTCTCCCTCCGTGCGCACATACGTCGCCCTGGGCCGGTACGGGCGCAGCGGCTGTTTTTTCAGACGGAGATAAAAGGATGTTGCTGATGTTTTTTTTGTTCTTGTTTTTGCAGGAACTTGTTGCTGAAAGTGAGCGTGCTGGGGGTTCTTTGCTACCATTGGCTGGGACGGGTGGCTACCGACCCCGACAGCATTGGACTGAAGGTATTTTTTTAGTGTTCAGGGATTTTCAGAGTACTGTAGCAGCAAGAAAGGCGAGTTTTTGCTTGTTTTTATAGCTGACTGTCTCCTTTCTTTACTACTTAGTGCTGGGAGAGTTTTGTTGGTCAGGAGCTTTATCGCTTCCTCCTCATGGACTTCATCTTCACCCTGCTGGACACCTTGTTTGGAGAGTTACTATGGAGGTGGGTCATCTAATAATGGAAATGGACAAAATCCTACGACAAAACTTATTTAAGCGTTGACTAATTATTTTTCCTGAAAATATGTATTCAAATTTGTGATTCCTTTCAATGAAAACTCATCAGGAAAATCCCATGTGCTCATTGATTTGATCTGCCACTGGGTTTTTTTTTGTCTTTTTTTTCTAAGTTCATTATCTGTTTTGCTGTAATTTACCAGTAATATCTTGTGTCCTCTGCAGATTGTTCTCTGAAAAAGTCTTAAAGAGAAACAGGAAACCGGAGTTCGATATTCCCAGGAACGTGCTGGACCTGATCTATGGTCAGACGTTAGCCTGGTAGGCACCGTGAAGCTAATCTGAGCCACGTCCCGCTCAGTAAAACACAGTCACTATTTGTTCTGTGGAGCTGAGAACTGTTCTCTCTCTTTGTTATTTTCCAGGCTGGGCGTTCTTTTCACGCCTCTCTTACCGGCCATGCAAATCCTGAAACTATTCCTGTTCTTCTACATCAAGATGGTATTTAAACTGAAACATACTCTTTGAACACCTTTTGTTTAGTGTAGAGAAATGTTCAAGCTGCTGGACTGCTTTAGAAACTTGTCTTTTTTTTAAACCTCTGGTTTGTTTCCATCGCTGTCAATACTTAGTCTTGTTTTATTTTCTCTTGAGCTAAAGGTTCTTCTTTATTTGTCCACTCTGCGGTCATTTAAACCCTCTGCCCACGTGCACGTGGTTGGGAGCGATGCGCCTGACGCGTCCTGTGTTTGTTCTCACCACAGAGCAGCGTGATGAGGAACTGTCAGTCTCCCCGGAAACCCTACCGGGTCAGCCAGATGACCACCATCTTCATCACTCTGCTCTGCTTCCCCTCCTTCCTCGGCGCCTCCGTCTGTGTCACATACACCATGTGGAGGTAAACCCGGAGTTTATTTATAGTCTGACCAGAGAACAGCAGGACTGGACACGTGTCACAGGACCTTGTGTTATCCGGCTGATTATATCTTTTTGTCTGTATTGTAGCAGGTGGATGCCTTTCAGTCAGTGCTCTGTTCAGCCTCAGTCATTTAAATATAAATCCTGAATTTTACATTTTAAAAATTAGATTATGGAAATGCCTTTTTTCCCTCAAACAAAAGAACTGGATTTGAATGGGCATCGGGGAAAACCAGGTGTTGATGTGATGTTGTTTAGGTTTTATTGATAAAAAAAAACTTCAGGTGCACACTCATAAAAAAATCAACTTTATCCACAATTGGCTCCAAACTGAGCAGCTCATATTGTTTTATAGCTCAGAGACAGGAAGTGTATTAGCTTAATCTTTAGATCCAACTTTTGCATAGTGAGAACTATTGCAGTTCAGACTTCTCTGGATTAAAGTACTTGCAGAATAAACAGCAGGTTTACGTTCCCTGACGTGATTTTGCTTCTGTTTCTGTATTTCTCTCCTCCTCAGCATCACTCCGTCGTCTTCTTGCGGCCCGTTCCGCAACCTTCAAACCATGTTCCAGGCGGGAAAGCACTGGGTGGCAGAGCTGGAGAAGGATAATCCGAACCTGTCCCTGCTGGCCAGGGCTCACACCTACCTGGTGGAACACCCACTCTTCCTGTTTCTGGGAGCGGCCATTTTTCTGTGAGCCCCCACACAGACGCAGACTCACACTGAGGGGCGCCCCGTTTATTTGTTTATTTATTATTAGGATCCCCATTAGCTGTGCTTTACACCCAGCTACTCTTCCTGCGGTCCACATAATTATAAATACAGTATACAATGTAAATTTATGAACATGTTTGACAGATGACAAATATCATATACATATCAATAAGACTGAACATTCATAGAAAAGGGGGAAGTTACTATTTTAAATTTTTATGAATAAGTTACAATAAATGAAAATATGAAACTATTTCATTTATGGATAAGTTGCTCCTAAAAACTTCTTAAGTTGCCTCGTTGTTTCAGAAACACTCGTTTCTGAGCTGAGCTGTTCTGGTGGACGGCGTTGGTCAGGATTTGATCATGGGTTTCTTTTCTCCTCAGGATAGTCATCTACTTCCACAGCCAGGTGGTGGACGGTCAGAGAAAGATCATCAGCTTACTGCAGGAGCAGATAGAAAACGTACGGCTTCTCCTTTTCTGCTCATTTTCTCCTCTTTTTGATGAGCCGGATTCATCTCCTCTTCTGTATCTCCTCTCAGGAAGGGGAGGATAAGAAGTTCCTGATCACTCGGCTTCAGTCCATCCATGAGCAGAAGCGGACTCCTGTGAGGAGACTCGTGAGTCAGGTCGGTCTTTGAGACGCTGATGGTCTCAACGCCAAACGTTTTCCTACCGTACACATCATGGCTGTTTCTTACTTCTACAGGACTCTGCCTGTTAGGCCCACTGAGACCCCAGAAGACAAATCTCAATTCTCTGAGCTTCTGAGTCATTTTTCAACCGGCGGGTAAAAAAACTGGAATAACAAATAGGGAAAGAGGAGAAATACAAAGCACCACGAGGGGGTTGGAGCTGAAATATACTGGAAGATTTTTAAAACCGAATGGAAATAAGGAACATAAAGAAGCTGTACAGAAAACATTTTATGAACTCAAGAAATCGAAATCGGAAATCTGTTTTTTCAGAGAACGGATGTAATGTTTCATAGAGGAAAGGGAGAAATCGACCATAGACCGGGACACATCGGAAACACGTGGATTTTGGGAAACTGACTGATCTGCATCCACCTGATTCTGGATAAAAAACAGGCAGCCTTAAAGGCAGCTCCTTAAAAAGCACTTTCATACAATCTGTGAACCGACAGTTTTGATGTTTTAATGCAGATATTGTATTGTATGCATGTCATAGGTGACCTTTGGATCATGAGGGTGTGTTTTTATTACTGTAAATGTACTTTTATCCTCAATTTTAGGGTGATAACTACCATTGTTTTGTAAGTAAATTATGTTTTTATTACATTGTTGTGTCTTTGTTTTCATCATTGCTTGATTAATTGTGACAGATACGGGACAGCCTAAAATAGCATCGATACAAAACTGGAAATGAACAGGAAGTGTTTTAGCATACAGATATAAAAGTAAACCTTTAGCTTAAGGCCATTCAGTAAATATATATAAAACATTTTCAGTAGAAAAATGAATGAACACAGCAGCTGGCCATTTCCTGAAGAATAAAGCAAATATCAGAACCATTTTATTAGCAAACCTCCCCATTAAATTATTTCCGAAAAAGGAGAAAAGGCAGCTCCACAAATGAGAGCATCAAATTCCCCCTCGGCATGCTGGGAAATCCGCCTCCGAACGAGTTCTGACGGTTCCCCATCGAACCTCAAAGGCTTCTGGGCTCAAAAGAGCCGGAGTCCGCTGCTCCTGGCTCCTTTTCCATGGACGTCTGACCCCATTTTGTGTGTTTTAACAGCTCAAATGTCCCTGTTGGATTGTGCCTGACTCCTGAGGAAGAGACTCCTCCTCTTCCTCCTCCCCCTCAGCTCAGCCGCCGTTACTGAGCATGCCCAGAAGCCTCCTGGGGTCCATCCCCTGCTGCCGGGCCACCTTCTGCACGTCGAACCCCGTGTGTTTCAGGAACTGGACCGGGCCCATCTCCCGCCCGGTGATCCGGTCCCGGGCGGGGGGGCAGGACGGGTTGCAGTGGGGCCAGGGGCAGGCGTCCACCAGGCGGGCGGGGCAGCCCCCGGGGGGGGCGAGGCTCCCCGGGACCCCCTGGAGGCTCCGGTCCCAGCAGTGGAGGGCCCGGGGCAGAGAGGTGCCCCTCACCTGGACCTCCAGCCAGTACCTGAGGACGGGGAGATCACAGGAGACCTTAAGGTACGCAACAGGACACGTTTCTACACGGTTAACCCCAAAAGGTACAAATACAGAAAAGCATCTTCAGCTGAACTCATGAAGAAAGTACCTGGATTATCCTGTTATCCTGTAAGGTACGCAACAGGACACGTTTCTAAACGGTTAACCCCAAAAAGTACAAATAAAGAAAAGCATCACCAGCTGAACTCATGAAGAAAGTACCTGGATTATCCTGTTATCCTGTAAGGTACGCAACAGGACACGTTTCTTAACGGTTAACCAAAAAAATGTATTTGTGTTTTTTCTTTTTACATATTTTGTTAAAAGGCCAAATAAGGAACTCAAACAAAAAAAAAAAGTCATTTTCTGTTTTGATTTCTTCTTGGATCAGGCTTTAAAGGGTCAAACAGAAGTGAAATCTGCAAATGTCAGGAAACCTTAAGGTACGCAAGAGGACACGTTTCTAAACGGTTAACCCCAAAAAGTACAAATACAGAAAAGCATCATGAGCTGAACTCATGAAGAAAGTACCTGGATTATCCTGTTACACATCATATGTGCAGGTGTACATTAAATACACCACAAAAATACACCAAAAAAAGCAAAAATAAATTAATAATTCACTAAAAAGTCAATAAACCAGCTCAGTTTGCAGTAAAAGTTACTTACTTTTAATTACTATAATGCCAAATGTATCATATTTGATACATACGGTTTCTGAAATGTTTTGCGTCTGACACCTTTTGCATAATTTAATGGTAAAAACTTTGCTCATCAGATACACCTGATAACAGGGGGCAGAAGACTACACAAAAAATAATCTTGACTTATCGCATAGTAATAAGTTATTAATATCAAAAATGTATTTGTGTTTTTTCTTTTTACATATTTTGTAAAAAGGACAAATAAGGAATTCAAACAAAAAAAAAAGTCATTTTCTGTTTTGATTTCTTCTTGGATCAGGCTTTAAAGGGTCAAACAGCAGTGAGCTCTGCAAATGTCTGGAACTATTTTCCGTGGCGGATGAGGTTATGGCTAAAAAACAATTTTAAAAAAGAAGGTGAAGTTCAAGCTGCGGATTTAAAACGGTCCAACGCTTAAATGGAAAACAAAGTCCGACTCCAAGTCTCTTTTAATCTGTTTTTTTTAGCCTCTGAGACGGTTTTTGGAGCCTATTGTCAATTACTTACGGTCTGGTGAGGAGTTCGTGGGAGAGACACGCCGGAGCAAACACCGCCCTGCCGGTAAAACACAGACGGTTATCAGACACGATGTGCAAGCCAAGGATGGATATCCAACTCCACCCACATCCAAGTCGGCCATTTTGATTAGGTCACCAATAGGAAGATCCCAGGCAAGAAAATCCTAATTGCTTCATGGCAATATAGACATTAATCTAAAAATAGTGAAATTAATCTTGCAAACACTGAATTAAACTCTATACATAATATTATGTTAAAATAGTGGATGTTAAATAGGTTTGTACAATAAGTCCAAACAAATTTAACCAAGAAATATTTATTTCTCACAATTATGAAGGCTGCAGGGTCAGGGTTAGGGTCAGGATTAGGGTTAGGGTCAGGGTTAGGGTTAGGATTAGGGTTAGGTTTTGGGTCAGGGTTAGGGTTAGGGTTAGGTTTAGGGTCAGGGTTAGGGTTAGGTTTTGGGTCAAGGTTAGGGTTAGGGTTAGGGTCAGGGTTAGGTTTAGGGTTAGGGTTAGGTTTTGGGTTAGGGTTAGGGTCAGGGTTAGGGTCAGGGATAGGGTCAGGGTTAGTGTTAGGACATCGTTTAACTTCCGATTTCGTTTAGACAGTAAAGTTTCGTTTCCACCTCTTGCAAACACTGAATTAAACTCTATCCATAATATTATGTTAAAATAGTGGATGTTAAATAGGTTTGTGCAATAAGTCCGAACAAATTTAACCCAAAAATATTTATTTATCACAATTATGAAGGGTGGAGGGTCAGGGTTAGGATTAGTATCAGGTTTAGGACATCGTCTATCTTCTGATTTCGTATAGACAGTAAAGTTTCGTTTCCACCTCAGAAAGCTGCAAAAAAAAAAAAAAAGAAAGCTGCTCGTCACACGACCTAATCAAAATGACCGACTTGGATGTGGGAGGAGTTGGATATCCAGCCGAGGCTCCTGCAGGCTGCAGCCGGAGGTATCTGGGCGTGCACGTGCGTGTGCACGTGCGTGTGCACGTGTGCGTGGGCCTTACGGAGCGTCCCTCAGCGTGGCCCTCAGGTTCTCGCCCAGCTCCTGGATGTAGCTCCACTGGCCCCGGAGCGGCCCGGTCAGATGCACGTTATCCACGGCCAGCTGGGCCTCGTCAAACAGCCACTGCACCACGAACACGGGGCCTGGGGGGGGGGGGGCGCGAGAGAGGACAGTGAGAGAGAGAAGGAGAGAGAGAGAGAGAGACTACACAGTAACATGGAAGTACAAACAAGTAGAGGTAGTGTAGCTGTAGACTGGATGAAAAATAGTACAGATATTAATACTAATGATAGCAACAGGACTATGAACAGTGGCTGTAATCGTAGC